CAGGCCCCGGGATGGCAGCCAGCTCTCCTCAGCTGGAGGCAAAACACCAAAGCACATCCCTAATCCCAGGAAGAGGCTCCCAGAACACAGCCAAACCCAGATCTTGAGGACGTGGGGAAAGGCACATGGTGCTTGAATTTCACTTAGCCAGTTGTACCTGGACTCACACTTGGCAGTGTCTGGGTAATACACTGTAGGCAGTAACACGGCCAATAAATAACCTTTAGTTCACAGCCAGGGGTACTCAGTGCACGATGCTCTACAGGATTAAGTTAAAACTGCCTCAGACTGAGTGACACCTGCTGGTCTGTCTGTCTGGGTTCTCAGGTGCCTGATCCCACCAGGCTGACCTGCTGTGCGAGGCTCTGGGGCATCCCCAGAAAACGCGTGCTTGGCTGCAGTACCACTGGCTCGATGAACTCGGTTACACAGCCAAGGGAAGGGTTTTATTGCTTCCCTGAAAGCCATGGAAACAAGTAATGATTTATAGTGGCTTATTGATGGTCTGATTCTGCTACCTCAGGAGACTCAGGAGAAGAGTGAACAAAAGACAGGATGCTGACTCATGAGCAGAAATGAAGAAAAAAGATGACACGTTGTTCAAACCAGCCTTCAGAGCAGTGATGATATTCTGGGAGACATTAATGACTGGGAGAAGTATCTGTGGGATTCATCTGTTTGTTATAACTTTCCCAGGGCAAGTGTTTTTTAGCTGTGGGCTTTCATATATATTAGGTGCAATATTCTTACTCACAAATCACCAGCTGTAAAGGAGAGACATTATGTCAGAGGGCAAAAACTGACACCCCCAACATTTGGTTCAGCTTCACTGGAAATCTGTCACCTCCCTGGTCTTTTTTGGATGAGTCTGAAGATTTAAGTTCAATGTATCAGAGGTATTTGGCTACTCTGTTGTGGCTGACCACTGCAAGCCATCAAGACCTATTTTTAGACACATGAATAACGAAGGATTGTGGAGTGGATCCTGAAATGTCCTGAGCCTCAACAGGAATGTGGCAGTGGCACTCAAAGGGGCTTGTTTGCAAGTGTTTGATTTGTTCATTAGCTCTCAGCTCTCCATCCCAGTGTGTGCTGTGAGTCACATCCCCTCTGCCCACAGCCTCTCCATGGAAGTGGTTCCAGCTAGGGGGGTCTGTGTTTACCTGGGGCTCAGCCAGAGTCCGGGCAGTTCCACCTTCTACTGACGTGGCTGTGAGAGTCACAGCATGGCACAGTCCCCTTACAGTCCCCCCAGCCCCCTGCCAGGCTGGCAGCTCGGGTCTGTCAGGGAGGTGTTGGGGACACAACTGCTGCCCTTCCTGGGCCAGTCTGTGCTGCCACTCACAGCAGCCCAGGGCTCGGGGCAGTGACTGGAGCTTCAGCTCAGGCTGCCTTGTCTCGTTCGTTTGACTGTGCCCTGCCAGCTGAGACACCAAACTGCTCAGCCACTGCTGTGTCCGAGGCTCAAGGAGTCCCTGCCAAGGCACCAGCACAGCTCCAGACCACCAGCACTGGCACGAGCAGTGTCACTGTGGCACATCCCAAGAGAGCAGGGTGCAGTGTCACCGTGGCACATCCCAAACGAGCAGGGTGCAGTGTCACCGTGGCGTATCCTACAGTGTCACTGTGGCACATCCCAAATGAGCAGGGTGCAGTGTCACCGTGGCACATCCTACAGTGTCACCGTGGCACATCCCAAGACAGCAGGGTGCAGTGACACTGTGGCACATCCTGCAGTGTCACTGTGCCACATCCCAAGAGAGCAGGGTGCCCGGTTTATCGCACCTGGAGCCTCTGGAAGAGCAGGTGAACCCCCAAGGACAGGCAGGCACATGCACACACTTTTTATCACATATCACATTCTTCTCTCCTGTTGCAGATGACTGAGAAGCTCAGACCGGTGCCCAAGTCTGTACGGTGTTTCGCACTGAATTAAACCCTGAATTACATTTTGATTCGATTTTTCAAATTCTCTGAGAACCGCCCCGAGCTCGGCAGTCAGTGAGGCGTGGATGCTCACTGGGTGAGCGGCGGCCCACCCAGGTCACGGGCACCCCTCGCGGCCCACCCCGGGTCACGGGCACCCCTCGCGGGCCCACTCCAGGTCAAGGGCACCCCTCATGGGCCCTCCCGGTCCCGGTCCCGGTGTTCCCGGGGCCTTTTCTGCCTCAGGGCCCTCGGGGCACGGCGGCCGGGTGGGGGGGGGGACCGCGGGCCGCCAGGGGTCGCTGCGGCACCGTGTGGCCGCCCTGAGGCGGGGCGGTGCCACAGCGCTCCCTGCTGGCTCCCGCTGCCGTTCCCGATCTCTCGGTGCCCATTCCCGGCTCCCGCCGCAGTTCCCGATCTCCCGGTGCCCATTCCCGGCTCCCGCCGCCGTTCCCGATCTCCCGGTGCCCTCTCCCGGCTCCCGCTGCCGTTCCCGATCTCTCGGTGCCCTCTCCCGGCTCCCGCCGTGCCCTCTCCCGGGTCGTTTTCTCCATTTAACGACGCTGCTGCGGCCCTTCCCGGTGGCACCGGTCATTAGATAGCGGCCCCTCAGCCCTGGGCTCCCGGGACCGCCTGTGGCCATGAGAGCCGTGCGTATTTTCCTGCTCCTTGAACTCAAAACTTCCTTTGGCACAGGAGCAGCCGAGCGAGCTGGGATCTGCCGGGGAAAACCCGCAGATACATCCCGGTTACGGTGTTTGAGTTTCAGAGGTGGGGGCACTTTCTCCTGGGAGAAGTTGGCTCCGCACCTCACATTCTGGAACATAGCAAAGCAAACCTCCAGGAATAGAAACCACTGGTGACACCAATTCCTGCATTTCACTGGCAGAGGGGAAACAGCTGAGCCAGGGCAGGTGTATAAAGTACCTGTATAAAGCCCTGTTGGCAATGCAGGTCTTATAAAGAGTCATAAAGCCTTCAGTAATGACAGGACCTCAATGTCACACATTCCAGCTGAAAAAACACTCTGCTCTTCCTGGCCTTTAGATTTACAGTGGGTGAGAGATGGGACAGGACACAGCCTGTGTCATGTGCCACCCCCCGGGTCCTCAGTGTTCCCAAACACTGCCAGCCAGCCCTCCAGGCTCCATCCTGCTCCTGCAGTGTCCCTGTGCTTGAAGGCTCTGTCCCACCTCTTTGTGGCAGCCACCCATGCCCAGCCCCTTGCCCACACACATCCTGGGAGGCACTTTACGCCAGGTTTCTGTGAGCTGAATGTCAAGACAAACCCCACTTACTATTGTCTGCATAGTGACAGAGGAATATTAAAAATATAAATAAATTCAGGATCAGTTAAGGGTCAGTGCAGATGCCGCAGAAGAGGATTTTCCACCTGAAAAAGCTGAATTTTTTCCTCCTGTGAAAGAAAAAAGAGTGGCTTCTCATTCTGATGTGTAGAAGACCAGGCCCATTCTTCTTCACCTGAGGTACCAGTCTCTGTGCAAACAATTGCACTGTGTGAGTTAACACTTCCCTTGTACGGAAAAACCATCAAGAAGAAGCAATTCCTGTACCTGAGTCAGGGATAAAAAATTTTTTAAATTACCAAAGTCCACAGCAGCAGTAAAGTGTCAGACCGAGTAACTTGGTTTTACCAGCTTAATAGTTATTCAGTTAGCTAATAATTACTTCACTGGGAAGCTTAACTCCAGTGCAATGAGCACTGGGCTCTTTGACAATAGCAACAATCCCAAACTGAGTATCAGCTCGGGTGACCCCTCTGGTCTGTTCAACACTGTGTTTTGGGGGATAGAGCACCCTACGAGAAGACTCTCGGGTGTCTTCTTACCACAGTTAAAGCCAAAGAGGAACCCTCCATGGAGGGATGTCTTTCCCTTTCCTCTGACTTGCACATTCCTATTCCTACATGCCTCTGTTTTTCAAACTAAAGCCATTTGGTCTGGATTTGGAGAGTGCCACAGTGCTTTGGGCAATGTTGAAGTGAACCCATTTAACAGCTTTCATTTTAATCACTCAGAAGTGGCTCAAAAAGCCTGTGACCCCTCTGTGGAGCTGCACAAAACTCATCAGGGCTGGTTAAATGATTCACAGCTGCAGGTTCATTATTCTGCTTGGAAAGTTTCTTCAAAAGGGGAGATAAGAAACAGCTCTTCAGGGCGGGCAATAAAATATTCTCTTCTTTTGGTGTAGTCACCTGATTTTAACACTTTGAATGCTAAAAGGTTATTTTAATGTGGCTGCAGGGCTCTGTATTTGGCATATTGCTGGTTTTCAGTAGATGTGTAGCTGGAAATTGATGTATCATCCTCTGTGACCAGTTACCTGCCTGAGCTCTTGCTGCCCTATTTGCAGCTTTCCCAGCGAGCCTGGTCTGGCACAATCATAGTGTGCACGTTGATACTGAGCAGCCCCTTCCAAACAAATCTGACTGTGATGACCAATTTTCATGTGTGGCAGAGCTGTAGCAGACTTGCTGTGCACAGTTCCTGCCCTGTTTGCTTGCAGTCATGTGAGGGAGAGCACGAGTTCCCCAGCAAGGGGAAGGGAGCCAGGGGATGGCTGAGCATCCCAGCAGGAGCACCAGGGAGAAATGCACAAGGAATTGATCAGGCTGTGCTTCTCTTCATGGAAGTGTTTATTGGAGAATGACAATTAAATTGAAGGAGACCTTAAAGTATCCCATGCTCCAGCCTGGACCAATGTGCCAGGCAAAAAGTGCTGCTGGGACCAGCCATTGACTGCGTGAGCTGCAGGGAGGCACATGGCAATGAAACAGCATTTGCAGTCAGGGCACATCCATGGCTGACTCCTCACCTGGGTAACCACAGCACTTCTTTGTGGAAAGGGCTTTTCATGCTGAAAGAAATCAAGACACATGGCGACAAAAGTTTTGGTCATGGGTTTATATCTGCCACGAGCAGCAGTCTATGCTTTTTTGCTAATCCTCTTGTAAGAGGGAATATCATCTCCTTTTCATAACTCAAAAGTTACACAAAACCCAGAGGAGAGAGATGGTGCTGAACCAGTATTTTATTTGACTGTTAGCCCCCAAAGAACATTGGTGGATCAAATCTCACTGTATTACAATCACACAGATATTTTAACAGAGCGCGTACTAAAGCAAGAGCATCCAGTGGGAGGCTGTGTGTAATCAGAAGGAGGTTTGCCAGACTTTTACAGAAACAATCACCTCAAAGAAACGATGTTTTTTAAGGCAGCTCAACACTGCCAGACTGCACACTCCTACTGAGGAAATGACTGCTGTGCAAGAATCAGCATGGGATGTGCTCTGAGGAAACAATGTCAGCTTTTCATCTGGGAGCAAACCGTCCCTTGGAGAGCTTTTGCCAGGTGAGGGATGATGTCTGCCCACTGCCACGGTCAGATGGGCAGCCTGTGGGTTTGACCTTGGCCTGCACCATCCATCCATTCACACAAGGCTGAAGGATGCTGAGCCAGCATGCTGTCCTGCTGAAGGATGAGGGGCAAGAACAGACTTTGATTTATTTAGAGTAAGGAGTTCAACAGTTCTCTGGGAGTGGGTTGGGATATACATGCAAACTGCATTCTTTAATCTCATTGATTTTTTCCTATGTAAAGAAAAGAGCATTTGAATAAGTTTTACTAAGTTACAGTAACATTGTTTATTTGCATTTGTGATTGATTTGTTTTTTTAAGAAGAGACAACTTGTTTATAGAAGCCTCCAGATAGTAATAGTAGGGAAATGCCATTTGCAGTGTCATGGATTCCCAGTTTTCCAGACAGTAAAACACCCAGCTTAGGAGTGACATCTGTTTAATACTGTAATTTACTTGTAACACAGAATTAAAGGTTTTGGTACTCCCTCTATGGTGCCAGCTCCAGACAGGACTCCAGTCCAGTGGAACCAAATCAAAGGTTCACCTGGTCAGAGCCGATACCTGAGCCTTGGGTATTTGCTCTCTGAGATGTTTCTAATTCCATTTCCTCCCCATAGCATATCGTCTGCAAAGCAATTCCTGCAGATGTGAAGGAAAAGAGATCACTGTGCCTCAGATGGGAGCCCAGACCTGAAGCCTTAGTACTGCCGATGCCACTGGGATTTGCAGTGTCCCAAGCCATGCCAGATCCCTGTCCCAGCTGTAGTTGTCCTCCTGCTTCCCACAATAACTTAGGAAAAAGCAAGATTAGTGTTATTCTTACTCTTTCCTCCCCTTCACAGTTTCTTTTTGAAATACAAATACATTCTCAGGTCACATATTTTTGTACCCATCAAAGCATCTTGATTTCCAAATTGAAGCAGCCTTTCATGCAGGTCTGCAGCTGTGACATGCTGCCAGTCTGGGTGGAAATGCTCAGCTATAGAAGTGTAATTTAGAGTATTTTGCATGGGAAGACTGAAGCTCATTTCCTTTTCACTGTCTTTTGAAGCTCAACCCTTTACCAACAAAAGGGCTGAGCCAGTGCAAAATGGACACAAAGAAATTGGTTATTCTTTCTGAGTGGCTTTTCATAGCCATAGGCTGAAGTTTGCCATGTGCTCCCACTGGGTATCTCCCTCTAGCAACCCAAACCCAGCTCTGAAATGTGGTGGCTGGCTCCACTGTGAGCCCCCAGAGCAGCAGCTGCTGGTGCCAGCTGTCAGGCACACACATCCCCAGGAATCCCAGCTATCTCTTGAATTCCAGAGGCACTGTTTGGACCAGGACCAGCACTGCTGGTACCCTGCCACCAGCAATGTAGCTGGAACACGAGGATCTGTGCTTGAGGCAAATACTGTGGCACATTGTCAGATGCTCAGTTTAATTGAGCAGGGAATGCATGGCTGTTTACATGTTACAGGTTAAACTTCTTCAATCTCCTGCCTTTTGGGTTGAAAACCTGCAGGTCTAGTTTGCTGGTTCCATCTCAGACAAAGGCAGAACGTCCAGTTCCAAAGCTGCTTAAAGGTTGCTGCTGCTGCTGCTGCCCTTGAGGACTGGTAAAAAATAAAACATTATTGAAAGTGAAAATAATTTTGATTTTGTGCCAAAGAAATGTCAATTCACGAAGTTAAAGCCCTAACAGCTTTACATCAAGCCACAGTGGGTAGCTGGTGTGTTTATAACCAGTGTAGCTTCCCCATGTTTGCTTAGACCATGAAAGGCTTTGTGTGCTTTTAAATAATTCTTTTCATTTTTGCTGACTGTTCCAATGAAAACTTCACTCAACACCCCTCATTCTGGAGCTCACAAGTGGGCAATTCATCCCTAGAGAATTTTGATACCTGAGAGAACAAGGCCCTGAATGACCCAAAGGTTGAAATTTGCATGCTGTGGCTGGAAGGTTGATTTGATGGTCTCCAGAGGCCTTTCCAAGCCCATTTCCCCACGATTTTGCAATCCCTGTGTGATGCTGCCCAGCTGTCAGATGAAAGGTTCAGCTCTCTGCCACAATCGGCTGCACGCTGGATATGTCTGTCCTTGCAGAGTTCCTCTGGGAGGGTGTCTGTGCCTTCGGGCGTGTGCTGCTTCTTTGGCACGGGCAGTTCTCAGCCTTGGCGTGCCGGAACAGGGGAGAGATGGGCTGCAGAGCGTGGCCCTGAGCCGTGCTCCTGCGGCGGCACACGCACAGCAGGGACCGCAGCTCCGTGCGGAAGCTCTCGTTCAGCCAGCAGTAGATGAAGGGGTTGTAGCAGGTGCTGCTCATGGCGAACCAGTGAAAAGCAAAGTACAGAGCGTTGCTGCTGTGGATGGCCCTGCAGGAGATCAGCACCACGTAGCAGTTCAGGGGAAACCAGCAGACGGCAAACACGACCACCACCACCATCAGCATCTTCAGCGTCATCTTCTTCTTCCTCTGATGGGCGTAGTATTGCTCCATGGTGAGGTCCCCAATGGCGTTCCTCAGCCAGAGCTTCTTGGCCACTATGGCGTATGTGATGGAGATCACAAGCAAGGGCAGAACATACAAGAGAACAAACGTAGTCAGGTCCAAGTACTTCCAGAAAAGATCAGCAGGAGGAGGGAAACTGGGGAGGCAGACCATTCGGATGGTTCTGTTTCTGAAGATCAAAGAGAAAGAGCTCTCAATTCCACCACCAGCTCCACATGTCTGAGGACAACCAGCTCAGACATTCAGACAAGTTTCAGTACAGGTACAGGTAGCAGAACTCATTTGGTGTCATACGAAGGTGCCACTTTCAATGGAAAACTTTACTCTAGGTTTGACCTTTGGCTCCAATGAAGGTTACCTTAAACACATCCCCAGGAAAAGAAAGAAATCATCCAACTGGCATCTGTGTCCTCTGCTGTCGAGGAGGCCCTGTCCCCTGTGCCTGCCCCAAATTACATGGTTGAACCTCTGAGCCCAAAACAACTAATGAACCAGCCTGGAAGCAATTCCATCAATTGTCATTGTCCCTTTGTGACAGACACAGCACCCATGTGAAGGGAATGAAAACTTCTCTCTTTCACCACCCTTTCTGCTCTAATAACATGGGTGGAGGGGTGTGGCCTTGGCTACTCTGGGGCTTTGCAAATATCATACAACAAAAAATATATAAATATCTTACCCAATATAAAACCTTGTCAGAGTCTGATAAATGGCGTGGGGCAGTGAGAAGCAGCTGGCCATAACCCAGATGATGATGATGCAAATCCCTCCTTTCACCATGGACATGCGTGGCTTGAGAGGGTGCATGATCACCTGCAGAGAACAACAACTCCTGAGGATTTACAGCGTCTTGGTCACTCTTTGAGCCCCATGTTGCATGTGGCAGCTCCACATCTCTTTAGTGTTAAAAGGCAGACTCACTTACAGGACTTCAGGGAGCACAAGGGCTGGGAAAAGCATGGAGTTTTGCATGTATTGGATGTTACTGCTGGCCCAGAGCCTGAGCAGAGAAACACATTCTGTGTGACCCATCAGCAGACCTCCAGAGACCATGGAAGTGAGATCTCTGTTGAGCTATATGCACTGTGGGGGATTACCTTAGGCAATGACCTAATAAATAGAAATAGACCTACCATGTCATCCAGATGATCTCTTGGCTTATGAGGTCTTCGGTATTTTATGCAAGTCATTTCTAGTCCCATTATAAATACCTACTTAATCAAGTTGTACAGCTTCCCTGGAGTATCTGTCTGCTGTGATATTTCTCAGGATTAGCAATATTTATAGAGGCAAGTGTAGGTTTCTCTTTTGTCCAGGACATCTCCTCACTTCTGGCTTTATCTCCTTGGGCCATACTAGTTCATTCCAGCCCTGAGGAACCCCTTCCACTGAATTTAAGGGCATGTATTGTTTGCCCTTAATTAAACAAACACTTCTTGATACCTAGCCATGCCTTGCAATCAACCCAGAAGCTGCTGATTAAAATGAATCACTGTCAAAGTGCTGTGAATTTCAGGAGCTGTAATATTGCACATGAAATAGACAGACTGTCAAACTCTTTGTGGTAAAAAGGACAGAAGTGGCTGATTTATGCTCTGGCAGTCCCCGCGATTTTCTGACACCAGGTGGAGCCAGTTCTTGTTTCGAAGTTCATCCAGCCACGGCATTTATCAGGTGAAGTTGCTTTTCTGTAGCAACTGTTTCAGTGACTCCAGCCCTGCAAGAAATCCAGTCTGCCTGAGAGCTCACCTTGCTAGATCTGGCCTCCCAGCACTCAGCACTCATCAGCTAAAGAACAATTTACAAACTCCTGTTTCACTTCAGGAAACCCTTCAGTCTGTACTGATTGCTTGACTTGAAAGGTTTTCCAAGGCTGGAGGAGGAGAGAATTTCTTACCTTGAACTGGATGAGTTAACATAGTTCTTACTGTTTCCAGCCTAAGGCAAGGTATGGGGCAAGTGTCAGAACAGACAGACTCTCATAAATCTGTGTGGAGAGATGGTGTGGGCTGGCTGATATTTGAATTCAACACTCATCCCCACCCTGCTCTTGGGGCTGTGCTCTGGGGCAGGGCTGAGGAGGGCAGGGAGCCCACGAGCCCAATGGCCCAGGCAGAGCAGGGCTGGACCAGGCTGTCTGGCACTGATCTGAGGTTTTCAGTATCTGCAAGGACAGAGACTCTCACTAACCACAACATCTCTGGACAGCCTGTTGCAGTGTTTCATCACCCTCACTGTAAAAAATATGGGTGTTTTGTCCACTGCCATGGACAAAACGCCCATATTTTTTACAGTGAGGGTGATTTCCATTTTACATGGAAAGCTGGAGTTCTCCCCTCTGCTCCCTGAGTCTCAAAACAGTATAGGTTTCCTGGTACGGGAATTTGAGGAGGAAACAACTATGTATTTAGCACAATATTTTCTAGCAAACACAGGATTGGTGTCTTCAACATACCTGGTGCCGGTCCAGCGCAATGGCAGCAAGGGTCAGCACAGACACGTGGACAGAGCAGTACTGAACAAACCGGCTGATGTGACACATCAGCTTTCCAAAAACCCAGGTGCTGCTCACAAACCTCACCTGAAGAACAGACAACATCAGATTAAGAGGAGCAATACCTGAAGAGAAGCAAATTAGCTTCTCAGGTGCTTTAATACAGCTTCCTGAAGCTTTGGAGGTGCTTTATCCTCGTTTTTTTCCTAGTGAAACAGTGTCTGTGCAAGAGGGTCTCAAAGTGAGGTGAGATTTAGTGCACTGTGCAAACCAATGGCTTGAGCAGTGCTCTGTGTATGTTGTGTGTGTGTACACTTGTACATTTACATAGCCCTTCTGGAACACATAAAGAAATATTAGCTCTGCCCCTCAACAAGGCTCTGCCGGGCACACCTAGTGCCTCCCAGAAAACATTATACCCTTGGTGGATGCTGAAAGCTGCATGGTCTCCAAACTTAGTGAGAGAAGTCCATGGAATCCATCTCACCTGTTCCCAGAGAAGTCTTACTGATTATGGCTTTTCTGCAGAGGAGAATGTACCAAATTGCCTCATTTCCTAGTTATTCCTGATTGTGTAATATTAATCACAAATTAATGCCACTCATTTTGCTGCATATTAAGCTAATTTGAAGTAAAGTATATTTACTACAAAGCATCTGTCCATGGAAAATTAGTCAAGACTAGCTAATCTGTTTTCAATTAGGCTAATTAATTTCCCTGTAGGGGTGACTCTTGCAGCACTGACTGTCACTGAACTGGAGCAGTGTGCTGGATCTCTGGTGCTGGTGTAAAGCTCGCTCCTGAGAGAGCTGATAGAAATTTAATTAAACATGCCTAGTGTGTGGCTGTTTGTGTGCGAACACACAAGAGGGCACCAGGCTCTCCCTGAACAAATTACGGGATGCAAATCCCATCAGAGCAAGGCAGGAAAGTCCCACCAAAGAAACAGCATCAGTTTAAATAAGGGTGAATTCCAATAGCTAATTCAAGACCTGCTTTTGGAAGGCTGAAGATCACTCTGGGCAGGGATGAAGCAGGAGGATTTTGAACAGGAGTGCTGGGTTAAATCCAGGAGCAGAGTCCTGTGTACATGGCTTGTATAGTCTGTGACAGTGGGGCAAGAAATTAATCTTTAATTTTTCCCACCTTGTTAATTTAATGTTCTTTTATATCATATATATTTTTAGTCACTGAAAATAAAAAAAGGACTATTAGCTCCAGGAAGCACCCTCTGTGGTGTCCAAGGGAGGGAGGGACATACGACACTGTTCAGTGCAGCCTGAGCACTTCCCTGAGGTGTTGCACAGGGACTGACCTGGTTCATGTTGTTTCCATAGGAAACCAGCCATTAGTTGGATTTTCTCATGTCAAACTTGTCCCCCCTTCCTTCCCCGTCTACAGGAAAAAAGGGCTCCCAGATCTGTGCCTTGCCCAGGCAGAGGGGGAAAGCTGCGGCAGAGTGCCCCCTGCAATGGACTGCGAGGAGGGGGCTGAGCCCCCAGCTCCACTTGCTCAGGGGGTGTTTGGGATGGGGGCCATGACTGCACCCTGTCCAAAAGGCAAAAGAGTAAGGGGGGCAAAAGTACGTCTGGATCCCAGCCTGGTCCCAGCCCTTCAATCCCAGTGCACACAGCTGACAGGCACACACAGACACCGGCAGGCACGGCTGGACGGGGCTCACCAGTGTGAAGGGCGTGTTCAGGGTGGTGATCATCACATCAGCAACAGCCAGATTTACGATGAAAAGGTTGGTGGCAGAGTGCATCCTCTTGTTCTTGATGACCACGTGGCACACCAGGATGTTGCCGAAGAGAGAGATGCAGATGATCACAGAGTAGGCGACAATCAGCAGCGCCTTCACTGTCCGGCTCTGTGACTCGCCCTCATACTTGGCTCCGCTATCAAAGTCCCCCAGGTCCTCCAGATTCAAGTCACTGTGGAAGAAGGACTGGTTAGGGAAGCCGTACAGTGCAGAGAAGAAGCTGGTCGTGTTGTGGTTCTCTGCTCTCCAGAAGGGCTTGGACATGTACTGCAAGGGGAACCAGGTGTGCTGTCTCATGGCTGGGGCAGCAGAGCCCTGGTCCAGCCACACTCGTCAGCACCTTCTGCCAGCTCAGCTCCTAAAGCCAGTGTTTGCAGGAGGGAGCACACACATTTGCCTTTTAAAACTCTGCCCCATGGTTGCAAACTAGAGAAAAGGGTTGATAAATGGGTCCTTCTGCCTGTGCTGGGGACACATCAGCTTCACCTCAGAGGCTCCCTGTCGGCTGTCCTTCTTAAGTCCCATATGTCCCCCTCAGAGATGCTGATTCAGAGGCTGAAATATCAGAGATCCCCAAACACTTTCTCTCTGCACCAAGGAAGAAATCTTAGTGAATAATTCCTTTTGGGCACTGTTCTTCTTCAATCTGCAATTTATCCTTGGAAATCTGCTTTACTGGTTCTCCACACAGTCCTTAATCCATCACGTTTCTGTTTCACGAGAGTTTTCAGAGCTTGGCAGAAACAAAAAATCAAGGGCTGTCTTTCAGTTTGCTTTTCCCCCTCCAAGTATCTCTGACTACTCAGTGAAGCAGCTTTGCTCAGCAGCAGAATGGTCCCTGTGTTCCCTGTGATATACACAGCTGCCAGATGACACACTGCACAGGAAGGAGCCAATGGCAGATCTCTTCCCAGTTTTTCCTGAGGTGTATCACAACCCACACGTGGGCAACAGCACAGCCTGACATGTGCAGATCCAGAGAGCAGCAAAGCACAGATGGAGGGTGGATGTGCTATGATCTCCCCTGTCTGCTCTCTGCTCTTCTCCGGACACTCGGCACAACTGCTAGATGGGGGTGAATCATCTTCACTACTTTGTGGCACTTCTCTTTCTCTTCATAACAGAGTTTTAGCAGAGAACATCTGAGGGCCTCGTGCTTGGCCCCAGCCCCTTCCTGCTCTCATGTGGTGCAGAGAATAGAGTGAAAAGTGAAATGCAACCTGACAATAGGAGCAGCAGGCACAGGGGCAGCCAGGATGGCCAGCTGCACTCTCTGCATCCTGGCTGGGCTGGGGTCTGTGCTGAGCCCGGGGCACTCAGGCACCTGCTGGCACCTCTGCAGCAGCCTGGCAGAGGCTGCAGGAACACACAGGGCTCCATCCCGGGCTCCTTTGCTGTATGACCCCCACAAGCCCCTTTGCCATGTTCCCTGCCTTTTTCCTGCTGTGCATCAGGAGGGTAAGGGGCACAGCAGCACTGGCTGCTCATGCACGAACCCAACAGCAGTGAGATGTCCTGGGTGTGCTAGAGGTGGGTAACTCTCACCCCATATTCCTGTGGAACAGATTTATTCTCTTGCAGGTACAAACAGTTCAGCAATCACATGCTGGCTTCCTGCATTTATTATTCACCTGCAAACATTCTGAGCTGCTCAAAGCAGGCTTTGGGGTTCATCATGCATTGGTGCTAGCTCCTCTCAGCCAGACAGACAAAGCAAGGGAGAAATGTACTTTTGCCAAGCCGTCCAGGTGAATTGTGCCACCCTTTGTTTCTTTGTAGAAGATTTTTGGCTTTTACATGTTGACATTACTTGAGACACAAACTATTGGAAATTTTCATTTGTGTGAGATTATTTAGCATTCTCCTTGTAGTGCTCTTTTGAAAAGAAATGTCAGATTGCTGAAATGTCAGTTGAGACGCATATCCATCTTCTGAACAGATCTAATGTGATCTCATCAGATCAATATTGATAAGGGCCAGAGAAATCAGAGCTATACTATAAAAATGCAGATCCTTGGGAACATGAAAACACCAGATCTCAAGTGTTTTCATAGGTCATTGCCATGGTTCATTGCCTTTGCTCATGGAGGCCAAGGGGCCTGTTGGGAACAAGTCCCTGAGCTCAGTGGGTTCATGGAATCTTTCCTGTACTTCCCTCCAGGGACCTTTTCCTGCCTGACAGAGAGAAGTGAGATAATTCAGCATTCACACTCATTGTACAGCATGTAAAAGCATCCAGGGTCAAGGCTGCTTGCACTTGCACCTGAATTTAAGCTAATTTTAAGGAAATGAATTCTAAAGACATGATTCATCTCTGCTACTGGACAAAATTTAATGATGAGACAAATCATAATTACAATGGAGATTTTCTCTGCAGGCTGTTACTATAGGCTCAGGGGGTACACGCATTCAAATGCTTGTACCTGTCTGCTCCCTCAAAGATGTAAGAAAATGATTTCATGACTGGAGTATTGAGATCAAAAACTGAATGAAATTGTCCCCACAGGTCCCTGCAGATTGTTATGTTTCATATTTATGAGGTATGTGAAGACTTCACAAGAAGGCAGATGAGAAATCCTGTGAACCCAAGACAATGTGTTAGAACTTTTCCTAATGCAGATAATCTCATCATGTTCCAACTGTGGATTTTTTGGTTTCTTGCCTTGGTGTTCTCCATCCATCCTTTCCAGCTGAAAGCAGCTGGAAGCAGACAGGAATTTTCAGTGCCTGAGCCTCGTTCAAAGGGAGAAAATTCAACAGCTGAAATTGTCAAGTCCAAATGAGGAAAATTCAATTCAAGTGTTTGTTGCACTATGCAGCTTCTTGCAAGATTCCTCTGCCCCAGAGAGTTTCATAATTTATCCTTTTCTATGTTAAATAAAAGTTTGATAAATAACAGAAACAACAAGAGCTATAGAACAACCCCTGAAGTTTTATTTCACTCAAAAATTGTGTTAGAAATAAGGGTCTTGACATTCCTCATATAGCATGAATCTGCAACATTTTCTTTTTTCATATTTGCTTTAATGCACTTGGGACACTGCATTCTTCTTAATTTGCAATGATTAGTCCTGCTTTTGTGACTCAGAAAACGTGGGACAAACAGGCACGGGCATTTTCCAGGACATTTCATGGACTTGATCATAATAAATAACTCACATTTTGTGATGACAGAGTGAATACCCCAGTAATACATTAAATAAAGCAGCTGTGTAATTCAGGCAGGTGTTAACCATTCAAAACCACACTATACAGGATGCCTTTCTGTGCAGGTGAGCCAAGATTTGGCTCCCGGGGAGGGAAAGATTGCTCAGCTCACAGCAACACGAGCATCACCTGTGTGCTCCTGCATCCCACTCACATCATTCACTGTGTGCTCCCTCTTGACATATGAGAGCCATTGCAGCTATAATCCAGGTTTTACAAAATATTTTCACTTACTGAGGGCAGACTTTTTGGGCAAAATCATAACATTTACCACTCTTAATGTGGAAAATTTACCAGTCTCGATGGCTTTTGTTTTTTTCCATAAGAAAAATCCCTCTTTGTGGGGAAAAATGTGGAAGGAAGGCACTAGGCACAAACTGTCTCAGCCAGATACTGAATTGCATCCCCTTGAAAGAGTATTTGAGCTTTTATTCTCAGAGCTTTCTTGGAGCAGTGTAATTGGATTCTCATGCTGCAGACAGACAGAGAGAACAAACAAGGGAGGACACGTGTGGGATACCAGGGTGCTGATACTTGACTAAGAAGCTGGAAATTACTTTTTCAAATATGCTAGACCAGCCTTTCTGCAGTGAAGCCTGACATCAAAATTATCCACAGTGAACTGGAACAGTGAACTGGAGGAGCTGCATGGCCTTGGAGCCAAAAGCTTGTTGGAAAATGTAATGGACCACGTCCTTTCCTAGAGAGCAGCCTGGGTTAGCTGAGTGTCCCTTAGCTGGTGAGGAAGAACTCCCCAAAGCCAGAGGAAGAATCAGCTCTAGCTCAGTACAATGTACCTGACAGGTTTACCATGACTTCTCTGCTGTCTTCTCTGACTTCTAATTCCATGTGCCAGACACCCAGAGAGGAGCAGCTCCAGCACACACAGCTTAAGGAGGGCAGAGGATGTTGTTCTCAGCTGAAAGGACAAAGTTTTACTCTAAAACTTCAAGCTATTCCCTGTGACTATCAAATGGCTGTGAAGTAAAGCCAAGGCAGTCTCTGTTGGCTCAGGACATGGAATTTGACAGGCACTAATGCAGAAGATTGGCTCTTGGCAAAGAAGGCTCAGCAGACACAGAGGAGACAAGATGTACAGGGGAGTTGACATGGCAACTGTCACTCATGGTCCCTCAGGAGACAGAAGTGAGCACTGCCAGGTTCAGGCAATGTTGGGGGTTTTTCACCTTCTAGAGGATTCAATACCAAGAGAAAAAGCCAGGTGGGTTGTTCCAGAGCCAGCTGACACTGGCAAAGGGTGGGGAGTTGCTCCTGAAGCCTCTGTCAAGCCTTTTTTCTTTAGCTTGAAGGGAACTCCTCTGGAAGGAAAACTACTTTGAAGTTTTGAAAAATAAAATAAAAACCAAAAAAAAAAAAAAAAACCAAAAAAAAAACCAAAAAACCTCCCAGTCTGAGTGTACCAGCAGCTACAAATGTTCAGACAGAAATCAAGAGCCAGGGTCCTTGAATAAGTGATGCAGAAGAAGATAAAGTATGATTTGAAAGGAAACATTTCTGAAGACAGGGATGCCATGAGCCCTGCACATACAGTCCCAAAACCCACCATGAGCAGCATCTTTCTTTTTCAGAGAGTGACTGGAGAATAGGTGGTGTTCTGCAGGTTATATTCTGAAAATGCTGGTTTTTCACTGAAAATCTGAATGAAAGCCAGGACATAAATGCCATCACCAACAATCTAAAGTTTTAGCTATGGACAATACATTTCACCTCATTCAATTAAAAAAAAATTAAAAATACTTTGCTGTACTTCAGAAGCAAATACTTATTTAAAATAATAACATTTCCAACTTCAGTCTCTCAGGCCAGAGTTCAGTTGCTGAGTTTGGGGTCTTGGTACAGAGCTGGAGGAGGCAAATGCCTCCAGGGGACGTGGCCCTGTGCAGGGAGGGCAGAGGTGGTTGATGACACTGAGAATCAGAAAATGGCCTCGTCTCAGGAGTGGGGAGGTTGGCTCTGGAAACAGCTCAGCCAAAATATCACCCCTCACCCCCACCAGCACTCATCTACTCCACAGTGCCCTTCACATCCTTGACAGTTGGGGCATCTCCCACTGGGATTCTTTTGCCCTTAAAGCATTCACAGCTTTTTTCAGTGCCTCTTATTCCTTCTTGGATTTTGTTTTTTTCTTTTTCATTTCTTCAGATATTTCAGGGGCTAAGTTTTGGAAACACTGATGACGATTCCAGCTTGGGTTAGTTTGCATTCCTATATTTGCATAGTATGAAAAACATTTCTAGCATTCATTCCCTTCTCTCTTTTCAACTACCCTTTATCTGACTGCTCTAGGAAAAGCAGAATTATCCACTGCTTTGTTTTCTCTCCTTACAGCCCCAGCTGCACTCACTACAATTCCTGGCTTGCAAGGGAAAAAAAAAATTTACATGTACTTTTTCCTTTAGATGCCAGATGCCACGTTCCCAGATGATCTGTGAATGCCCAAATCTCTTCCAAATCTCTTCTCAACATCCAAAATTTCAGGGACAGAGGAACAACACACCCCGAAGACAAACCTCTCTCTGGCACACGGACACATCGGCACCCCTCCTGAGAGCCCTCCTGACTCCA